TTTGTTTTGCTTTCTTCTTCTTCTTCTTCTTCTTCTTCTTCTTCTTCTTCTTCTTCTTCTTCTTCTTCTTCTTCTTCTTCTTCTTCTTCTTCTTCTTCTTCTTCAGATATCAGTTCTAGACATAGACTTATTACTTATAATAATATTCTTTGTAAAGTCTATGGGTCAGGGAGCAGACACCGACAATCATGCGGTACGTGTACCTCATTTAATCCCCATTGTCTGTCTTTCTAATAAGCCAAACCGAAGTTGGTGGTTGGCGGGTGCTCTGGTGTGGTTTGCTCTTTCTTTCCTATCAAACATCTCTTGTCCCTATCTCTCCTCCTTCTTTTTTGTGTTTGTTACTCTCTTGTAACACCTCTAATCTTCTGCATGACCTTATTGTGTTGCAAGTGCCGTAAAACATTTACTAAAACTAAAAGACAAGCCGGAGTACCATTGTTGTACCAAGTCCAATGTGCTTCTTTACTCAAAACTGAAACACATTTTTCGACAAGATGCCTATAGTAATGTTTTTTTCCTCGTTGTCTTGTAAATTATATTTGTTTTCTTAACTCTTTTCTTAAGTGGCAAGAATTGTCAGCTTTTATAGTTATCAGGAGTAAGTAAATGCACCGATATATCGGTATATGATATGGTAAGAATCAATATTCCTCACCTTCCTCCTTCTGCTGATTCTCAAAATCTTCGAAGATATCAGCTGTATGGGTCTTCATTGAGAAGATCAACCCTATGAGGTAGGCTATAGGCAGGATGAGTGCGCATGCGTAGACCAGCGGCTCCACATGGGCGCTGTACAGGCTGGTGCTGTGGTCCAGGCCTTCCTGGGAACAATGGGACGAATAGATGGGTAAAATGGGGTCTATATGTTGTGGTGCATCGTGGTGAAATCAGGCGCTCATCATATCTTTTTTAAAGGGGTGGAGGTATATTTTACCCACCAGTTGGACAATATATTTCTTTAATTTTGCATTATTTTTCCTTTTCTTATTTCATTGGATTGGGGGGGTACACATTTGAGAGTAATTTTAAAACATACTTCTGAATGGACTTTTACTGAAAATGATGATCATAGGCGCAAAGCATGTAAATGTGCAGTTTCTAAGGATATTCAAGCTTTCAAAGTCCCCAAATTTTGAGGACCATTTACTTGCTAATTTTCACATGTGACATCAGTCGACTCTCATTGCCTTCATCGCAAATATCTCATCTTCTATTCAAGTTCAAGATAGATGAGTAGTGTTTTATGCACAGGCAAGTCAGTTGAACAGCCTTTAAAACTATACCAATAATAATGATGATGATGATAATGATAATAATAATGATAATAATAATAATAATAATAATAATAATAATAATAATAATAATAATAATAATAATAATAATAATAATAATAATAATAGTAACAGTAATAATTATTATAATAGTAATAATAATTATTATAATAGTAATGATAATAATCGTAATAATAATAATGATAATAATAATAATATCATCATCATCATCATCATCATCATCATCATCATCATCATCATCATCATCATCATCATCATTTGACGTACCACGACAGTCTTACAGCCAGAGCACAGGAAGCCAGTGGCGTTGGTCACGGAGCTGTTGTATGGCGTGTGCTGCTCACAGCGGTCACACTCCAGGTTCCCGTAGATCTTGGAGAAGATGGTCGGGGCGAACACACCTAGAAAGACACGCAGCTATATTAATATGTGCCAAACCTGATGGAGATATGCAGCTGTATGTGTGTCACACATGAGGGAGATGTGCAGTTGTATGTGTGTCACACATGAGGGAGATATGCAGTTGTATGTGTGTCACACCTGAAGGAGACACATAACCATTTGCAAGCACACCTGTAGGAGAGACATAATTATAACAAATGCCATTCCTGAAGGAGACACACAACTAAATGTGTCACACCTGAAGGAGACATAACTATAATATGTGTCTTTCCTGAAAAAGACACGCAACTAAATGTGTCATACTTGAAGGACACATATTATGATGTGTCATACCTGAAGGAGATACGCAGCTATGTGTGTCACATCTAAAGGAAACACAAAACTATTTGTGTCACAAATAAAAAGACACGCAACTATAATACTATCTTTTTAAAATACAGCCAAACATGTGTAAAACGGTCACCCATTGTCAAGGAGAAAAGTGGCGTATAACACAGGTGGCCGTCTTAGGCAGGACTGGGTCAAAATGAAGAAAGCAAACCATTCCCTTCTGAGGTCCAAACCGGGGCTGATTTCAGATTTCAGACTGCCGTAAGGCTAATTCAATAGGTTTGTTTTTTTTTTAATTAAAGTGGTGGGGGTGGAGTAAAAAGAGTTTTTTTGTGTGTTTGTTTTGTTGATTTTAAAAATCTTTTTTGGCTAGCGTTTTTTTTTTTAGTTGCTGATTCTGTGCAAGGGTAAAAATAAACGAAATATTCAAGTATTATAAGACTATGAAGACCGAGTGCCATGGTAAAACAAACACACGGGTTGCCACCACTTGGAGAACGAGCGAACGCTTCTATCGCAAGTTCACGTCAGCGTCCATGGTAAAATTGTTACTTTGTTACAGAAGTTACAATTAGGTAAACAAAACAGTGACTAATCATCTCACATACGATTTGTGCGTGAGTTGTGGGCGGGGCTGAAAGGTTATGACGGATCACACGCTTCCCTTACCAGCAGTTGGAAATATATTGTTAGCGTTATGCCTACCCATTGGTTAACTTGGGTAAACATTCATTGGAGGGACTAGCAATAATAATAACAGGTGAATGAATTATGACGGCCCTTCCACAGCGTAAGGGGCCGATTCAAAATGTAAGACAAAGCGTCCGGCAATGATTATGAATGACCACTCCTTGCCGCCTGAGGCAGGTAAATTTGACTGTGGGTTGATAAAATGAAGTGGCCGCGGCGCGTTGGACAGGTGACCGTTTTATACAGTTAACTTATACCGAAAAAACACACGGTGGGAAATGGAAAGAGGCCGTTTGTACAGGCGGCTGTATTACACAAGACTGTACGTGTCACACCTGATGGAGATTGGCAACTATATATGTCACACCTGAAAAAGCCATAAACACTGTGTGTAATACCCGAAGAAAACAGGTTATGTGATACCCGATGGAGATACACGACTATTATGTGTCACACCCGAAAGAATCGCACAACTATATTAAAAATCTTATTATATGTGTCACACCCGGGGGAGGCATAATATGGAGACATATTTATTATCATTATTATGATTACTGGTGTCACATATGAGGAGACACACAACTATATGTGTCACACCTAAAAAGACACGTAACACTAATTAAGTGTCACGCCTGAAGGGGATAGGCCTACGCCACTCAACTATATGTGTCCCAAATCTGAAAGAGCCATATTACTATATGAGTCATACTTGAAGCAATCGTATTATAATTATATGTGTCATACCTAAAAGAGCAATATACACGTAAGTATATTATGTGCCATGCCAAAAGGAGACTCACACGAAAATACCCCTCCCCCAAACGAAACAAACCAACCCAAAAACAAAAACAAAAACAAAACAAACAAGCAAACACGCAAGCAAAAATACAAACAAACAAACAAACAAACGAGCAAACAAACCAAAAACAAACTAAAAGCACGTGACAAATCAAGCGCGGAGTTGACTCACCAATGATAGCCACAAAAAGCAGCGAAGAGCTAATGTTGGCGGACTTTGGGTTGAAGTGCTGTCGCCGGTACTTCAGACCCCCGATCACCATGGACATGCCCTGTGGGAGGAGGACACAGTTAACCTTTGCCTTTTCTCACCTCACAACAAACAACTAAAGGAACAAGTGTGTGGCATCGTGGAAAAACCAGGTGCTTGACGTCAAAATGATGAAATCCAAGATAGCTACATTTCCTGCCCGTTGGGCAATTTTCATTGATTTTGGGTTTTGTTTTTCTTTTTTCTTTTGTTTTCTTGTTGTTGTTTTGTTTGTTTGTTTGTGTTTGTTTGTTTGTTTGTTTGTTGTTGGCTGTTTTTGTTGTTGGCTGTTTTTGTTGTTTTGTTGTTGTTGTTGTTTGTTTGTTTTTGTGGGGGG